CAAATTTACTGTTCTGTATCTAAACAAGATGTGATATTATGGGTGATTACCGTATTTTTTGGACTATAAGATGCACCGGAGTATAAGACGCACCAAGATTTCGAAGAGAAAAACAAGAAAAAATAGTTTTTGGCCTTCATGCATCCGGTTTTTGCCCTCCTCAGCACTCTGCAGGCCTCCCAACCCTCTACGTATCCCACAGGACGTGCAGGGCGGGGTTTCGGGAGGTCAAAAATGGCCGTATTCAGTGTATAAGATGCACTGTAATTCCCGCTCCGGGTGTGTGTGCATCTTATACTCCGAAAAGTACGGTAATTACAGCCGCTCTGAAGCAGTATCTGAAGAGCACAGAAAGAAGCACATGGGACAGAGTGTGTGAATACTCAGACATGGTTCCTAATACAATAATTGTAAGATTATTGGTTTGAGGCATTTTTTGTGTGAGGTGTGCATGCAGCAGACCAAAATTAGTCTTGTTCTGCCAACCTGCAGGTATGGCGTGTTCAATAAAGTATGGTGAAAAAGAGCACAGTTTTGCACAGTATATGAACAAAATGTTAGTCTATCTCTTAAGAGAGAAAAACATTCTTCCAAATCTGTAATGTGTTGTTCTCTCCAGAATGGCAGATCCCATAGTTGCTGTTGGCATTTCTTGGCATCCGCAAAGGTGTAGCTGGTGGGTGTGGCGGGAGGAGGATGGAGAAAACACCATAATAATTGGTGAATTAAAACCGCCGAATAATGGGGCAGAGCCGGCCCGGGCCAATTTACAGGCCGCACAACTGATCTGAGTGGCTGATTGACGCTTCTGGTCTCTGGAATTTACACACAGAACTGATAGGAAATCCTGAGAACATGTTTGGATGGGTGTCAGTGTTGGGTGTATCACTCAAAGAGATAAATCAGAAAGACAGTTGCTTCGAGATGGAATAGCAAGTCTGAGTGCAGAATTTCCTAAGTTTAAGACTTTGGCACTTCCAGTTCATAAAGGTGAGGAAATCATAGGAGGTGCAAAGAAACCTCTCTGCTTGAGAGAGTCTAAAAAAAGTTTTTCTTAATTGGAGTGCCAATTACCTCCACTAGACCAATTAGATCCCACAGACTAGGCCTCCTCCGAATTCCATCCGCTGGCCAATGCCGACT